TTTTAAAGTTGAAAAGAGGGGGGAGGGGTAAGACAGAAAACAGAAAAATTGATTAACAGAAACAGCGTTAGCTTGTAGGTTCACTTAGGAACTCCAAAAAACAAAAGCATTTACAGTTTATAAGATTGAGATTTGCTCAGTGAGTTGAGATCACTGAATTAGATGACTAATCAAAATCAAAATTCAGTTACCAATGGAGTGAGAGGTTAATCACACTCTATTTCTGTATGCATAAGTCTGGTTTAAATCGTTTGATTGCGATCGCTTCGGCAAATCGTAGTAAATTTGCTGTCCTTTGTCTATTTAATATTTTGAAGGACTTAGAAATCTCTACGAGATGTCCGGTATCAACAATATGTCTGGTAATTGCACTCTGAGAATATTTGCTTCCTTTCAGGCATAGATTTCTTGGAATATGTTCAGAAAACCGAATAGAAGCCCTCCTTTCTGTCCTTCAAATGTACTTGCTCCCGGAAGTGCACGTAGATTCATAAACGCAGTTGGAGGTGACATCAGCAGGGTATTTATCCAGTTTTCAGTGGATTATAGAAGGAGTGGTGCTGTGTACTGTTATTGTAGGCTGCCAATCTACCCGAGGTGGTCTCATCATAAAATGGTTACTCACTGAAATAAATTTTTGTCCTATGAGTATAATGTGTTTTTAGTTCAAGGAATATTTTATTGTAAGACGGCGTCTAAGTATAATTTGAAAAGCGAAACAATAAATATTAGTACAATCGGTCACGAATTTTACTTATATATGATACTGGATGACAGTAATGCCAAATCAGAAATTAAAAGTATTTCGAATACATAAGCCATTCGATGAACGGTTGGGCGTTGACCACGAAATATAAAGGTCCTGCATTCGATTATTAATGGAGTCAGTGGTGGATGAGAGGGTTATCCGATGCTTCCTGGTTTTCAGTGATTCTGTAAATGATGTCAGTTTGTAATGAAACCTATCTTGAAACTCTATTTACGAGCTGAGAATATACAATCAGTCAAAGTTAATTAACAGTTAACAGTTGATAGGCGGTTACATAAAAGATGGTTCTTATGGCTTACTAGCTTAATGAGTGAAACGGTGGGCAGAAGGTACGAGTCTCAGTAAGACACAGGTGTACCCAGGTGGCGAAGTGCGTGTCTTGAATTCCACCACTAACTGTCTTTAACCAAATAGCATCATGTTTATATATGAAGACACCTTCCGTAATAGAAGCAGACATCAAAACACAGACTAATGAATCGGCAGGAAGCTAACTTCAATGTACATCTATTAAATTAAACAAATTTTATTGTTTGGAGGATTTCATCATGAGCTGGCATCATTTAGAGAACCACTGGAAAACTTGCAGGGAGTACTGCACAGCTGTTCCTTCCGTCCTAGTTCGGGACCCTTCAACAGTACGCACCCACCGCTACATTTCGAATCCAAGACCTTCTGATTACAAGGCTAGCGAGCTCGTAGACCATTAAGCTACTGGGACCCGATCCAGTGGCCAGCCCATGAATTCTAACTTCTGACAATTCACGACATAGAGCGACCACTTACAAATGTCTAACTGATGTCAACTCATAATGAAATCCTCCAACCAATCAAACAAAATCCCTACAAAACCAACACTTGGAAATTGATCTGATGGTCACTAGCGACTGGCCATATTCAGGTAGGTTTTAATGCGAAGCCGTGGCCAGTAGGGTACAGCAGGTTGAAGGTGAGTTAGTAACTCATGGGAGAAGACATTGTGAAGTGGTCACGCTATGTCATTAATTGGTAAAAGTTAGAATTCATGGACTGGCCATTGGATCGGGTCCCAGTGCCTTAATGGTTTACGAGCTGGCCTTGTAATCAGAAGGTCCTGGTTTCGAACCGTGGTGGTGTGTGCGTACTGATGAAGAGTCGCGGAGTAGGTAGACGAAACAGTTGTCCAGTACTCCCTGCAGCTTTTCCAAAGGTTCTTTAGCTGATGTCAGCAAATGATGAAATCCTGTAACCAATCCAACAAAATCGCTACAGAACCAATACTTGAAAATTAATCCAATTTTAATTGTTTAATATTCATAAACTTCTAAATTTGTTAATCATACAAAAATGTAGCTTTCATTGGAATAAAAGTGAAAAATAAGTCACAACCAATGTCACCATCATGATTATTATTATTATTATTATTATCAATAATACCACCACTGTGTACTAACTATTTACACACGAACATAAAACTCTGTACAAATAGACTCTCTATACACAAAGAGAAATATTTCAAAATAAACATTTTAACTGATTTGCATCAGTTTTTGTATTTATTTACTCTTCCAACTCTTTATTCACCATATTGTACACCACCAGAACTATAAAAGGTAATACAAAAAAAGTCATGCATCTGTGTAAATTTCTATAAGATTGACTCAAATTACTGTTGAATTCATTCTCACAAATATATACTAACGAGTTATAATCATATTTGCATTGCACTGTTTATTTGTATCTGCCTTCGTGTGTGTGTGAGTGTATATGTGTGTAGGTGGATGCCTATCTTATTTGTCATGCCTCACGCACACATGAGTATACCTATTTGTATGTGTGTTCGTATGATCCAGTGGGTGCATGACTGAATAAATGATTGAGTACTTTTCTGTTGATGCATATTTATGCAATAATCGAGAAAAGAAAAATAGCTTTTCTTAATTTCTGAAATGATTTACAATACAGTTTTTAATTAACTTTTCAATACATAATTATTTATTTATTTTATTATTTATTTCGCACTTTTATTTGCCATCAATATATTGTTACAATCATCCTACTTTAATTTCTGACTGGGTCAAAAGTAATCGGTCAAATTTGAACTCAGCACAGACTTCATTTAGAGAATCTGTGTCGTACATAGTTAGGACTCTTCAACACTGCACACCTATGATTCTGCCAGTGATTGAAGGCGAGCTCACTGGCCATTCAGCAACTGGTACAGAATTTAAATAGCCTATCAATTCCAACTTCTGTCGAAGGACGATCAGTTGGACCAAAGTGGAGACATAATGAATACACCTCTTATTTTTCATTCCTTTACGTTCCCAGTGGAACATAGGGCGACTTCAAGTTAGAGGCTTGAAGTTTCGGTAGTAGTGGTGATTATTTTTACAGGATGGGGTTGCTAGCCTAATGCCCAACCTTCCCTCTCTACCAGTCTTATTACTGGCTTAGCGAGGTAAAGGAGTCCATCGGTCGGGGATCGAAACCCACACCACCTGTGTGGTTGGCGAGCACTCTACCGCTGTGCCACCGACGCACGAATAAACCTCTAGGTAGTAATAATAAAAGGGGTATCTGAAAAAATTAGTTCCCTTTATGAATTTTGATAAAAGAATAAGGAGACGTATTTATGTGAACCATATTTCAAACAATCTGATCACACACATACTTATTACTGGAATATATATGAAAACAATAAAGTGTTAAAGGGTAATGGAACAGACGTAGGTCAAGTTATGAGGCTATATTGAAAGTCGAAATAATATTGGACATCTGTATACGAAGATCAGATGGCCAGAAAAGATCAGCAACAGGGATCTCTGGCAATGAGCGAACCAACCAGGAACCAATTGTGAAACAAATAGGCAGGAAGAAATGGAGATGGATTGGCCATACTCTGGGGAAACCATCAAGTGACATCACTGGACAAGCCATTGCTCGAGTGGAACCCGGAAGGGAAGCGGCGAGTTGGTCGTCAGTGCAAGGGTGACTTGGAGGAGGTCATGTGAAGAGGAGATGAAAACGTGAGGGCAGACTTGGAGCCAGGTGAAAACTCTAGCGGAGAACCGAGCGCAGTGGAGACGCATGGCTGAAGCCCTATGTTCCTCTAGGAATTAAAGGAAACAATAATAATAATATACCAGAGAACTGAGATAACAGTACATCTATCCTGATGTCAAAACAAAGTTTACCTAGGAAGGTTTAGTGTAATAATGAGTGTGTTTTGATTGCATAAAGGTAGTTTAAACTTCCTAATCCCTAGGGCCTCCTCAAACTCTAGCATATGTCCAAAACATGCTTTATAGATAGTTTTAAAAGAAGTGTAAACGTCATTTTTATGCTCTGTCTCTATAATAGGTTTCACAACAGAAGAGATAAGCCGTCGTTTTTCCATTATTAATGGGTTCAGGGTATTTGATTTGCTTCTGAAACCAGTTAGGAATATGCTCTGAGGCGTTTACTTGCAAAGATTGATGATATCTCACTAGATATGTGTGACCACATGTACATTTAATTTGACGGACACGTCTCCTTTGTTATTCTGTTGAAATAAAACAGAAGAGTAAACCAACAGTTTCTGGTTGAAACATGCTATTCATCACTTCGATTGTATCGTAACTGTTCAGTACTTTAATAGCCTACTTTATTTTTCGACCCTCAAATTATCTTCGAAAATTCATGTGAATTTTTCAAGTCGATTAAGTAATGTCATCTGTCTTTTTTCTCATACAACTCTTCTTAATTATGACGACATTTCCAATAAAAAAACAACAACAACAGACAATAGAACTACATGTTGTGAATCTCATATTTATTATTACATTTTCACTTTGTACCAATTTGGTTACATATTAATGCTTGTCGCCTACATAAATTACGCGCTTTTGTTCTCTATGTCTATAGACCACAAATTTGTCTTCTCTCCATCTTATTTTATGCGCGTTCGGATTTTAGTAAACCATGCAACAGTACAAATTAAAAAAAATAGTCACTATAGCTTCCATTCATCTCTTTTCCGCCCCTGCTTTTTCATCGTCACCAAAAACTTAATTATGATTGGTGGATACATAATTCTTTCTACCAATCAAATATACGTAGTATTTAAATAGATGACTTATATACGGCTGGGAATAATCTTAGCCAATCAGAAACTAGTTAATAGTATATTAGGTTACTGAATCAGTAGGATATGTGGGTGGTGATGGATCCATTTTAGTAGCCGATATTATACACCAACTAAATGGATGAATAATAGCATTTTTACGAACCCCCCTCCGCTTTTTTCCTACTTATTCGTGAAGGCAACAGGTTGGAAGTGACAAGTCAGAAGCAAATAAAATAAATATTTAGCCAAGAAGTGTTTGAAGTTAAAGTGTGGTATTCATTTCATGTATGTATTTCTTTGAATAGAATAATTTCCCCTGAAGATATTTACTTCGCTCAACTTATTTTGTAAAAAATATTGAGACAAACTTAAATGAATCTCTGTCGATATTATTAATCATGATGACGCCTAAATTGTCAGTGGATAACAGTCACCTTCAAGATATGACTATGCAGTATATGGAAGCGATTATGCGTTTGAATAAGAACAACAATAGTAATGCTAACATAAGCAATAATTATCATAATAATATGATTGCTACTCACAATAACACATTTCATTCTAACATGCATGCAGTAACTGAACATCAGCACACAGATAAACATCATATTCAGATGTCTAATAATAGCCTCGGTAATCTGAATCACCATGGCTGTTGTAATTCCTGGAGGAATTCATTAAATAATAATAATAATAATATTCATAATAGTAATAGAAGTAATGATCACTATCAAGAACATTTTCAAAATGGAGTCTCTTACGATTACCGTATCCCGTACAACCAATTCAATCAAAATGTCAATAAACAATTAGGTAAGTTATGACCATGAGTTTCCTTTTGATTTTTCGATTTTTTAAATATGTTCATCCCCTAAGTTCCGAGTGGAACACAGGGCTCCGGGCTTTGGGAGTTTCAGTAGCGATGGTATTGTTTTCACATCAAACCAAACCTTTTCCCTTTATCGAGACTTACCTTCGGTTAGTTTACTAGGTGAGGTTAATTTCAGTCAAGATTCCGTAAGTAAAGGATCGTGTGTTTTATTAATAATATTTCGTCTTATGAGTTTGTTTTTCAATTGAAATCTGAGTAATATTCATAGTACACAAAATAAAATTCATGTGTGACATGTTGAATGTTTGTCAACAAGGTGTACTTATAATCCTGAGAAGACTTTTATTCCCGTCAACATTTTAAATAGCATCAGGTTAAATATGTATGTTAGATGAACCAATTTACTACTAAACTATCCAATTTGCAATTAATAGTGTCCTCTGAGCCGGTTGGTTTGGTTGCGGAACTTTCGTCGTCCTTCTGGACAACATCTTCAGCGCAATATTTAGCATAAAGTGAAATGATTTAGATTTTCCATGAGTGATATAATTGCGTCCCCCGGTAACCATCTTTACATATGTACTGATCATTTCTATCGACTTGGATTTTAAACTTTCTGGTCACCTGATTTACTTTTTATTAGTTGGCATATTTCGTCTATATTAACGTGTTTGTTGATTGCATTTTCGTTTGAGTACCAGGCTTCTAGGAATTCCCTGGCACTTTTGTGTTTCCTTGCTAAGATCTGACATTATCCCAATCAAACGGATGTCCATAATTGTCTACATGCATTGATACTAAAGAATATATATCGTGTCTATTCACGGCTGACTTGTGTTCCTGGATTCTGATTTGAAGGGGACGCCACTTTGGCCGATGTCATGCCTGTTACAGTTCATACAATTATTTTGTAAATGGTATTAATCTTATCCCCTTTTTCTGTTGGATCTTTCGGTTTCAATTTATAACAATATACCTAGAGTGTTGAAGTTACTTAGGTTAACAACCTTTAGTTAAGTGCTTATTAGGTACTATTTGCGTGGAGATCCGATTCCGCCTTAAGGACGTTAGAGCCAATACTACTAAATCCAGTAAAGAGGGCTAATCTTTGACTACCACGATATGAGAACTTGAACTCCATTCATATCAGTTTGACGGCGCTTTAAACACATTTCTACGATGACCTCTCGAAAGTGTCCTGTGGGAAAGGTTAATACCTAAGTCGTCATCTAGTATATGATGAGGCAGAATAAGATCATACATCTAGTTATCTATACTGTCACTGAGTTTTGCATATTCTTTGAAATTTTATTCTTTTGCCTTCCGATTGGCAGCAGAACTTCAGGCTCGAGCTTCGGAGTCTCAGTAGCAGTGTTATTCTTCTTTACAGGCTGGGGTCGTTAACCCCAAGCCCAGCTTTTCCTCTTTATCGGTCTTACTATCAGCTAAGTGAGGTTTAGAAGTGCAACGGCAGGGGACTGAACTCCAAACCACATATGTGGTTGATTAGCATTCTGTCGCTGGACTACTGACATAAAATTGGCAAATTAACATGAGGTGGAGGCTAATATATTCTAATCTTCGTTCAGTTTCATTTCTGAACGATTAGAAAATATTCTAAACATCAATACAATTTCACACAGTTAGGGAGTTTACATAGCTAACAGTTGACAATGTGACATCTTGCCACTCAAATACAACCGAGGCAGAAATAAGAATAAGTTGGACTCAATTAACCCCTGATGCTTGAGGAGCTTTAGACTTTGTCTTACCCAGAGCAACTATCCAAGCAGACTTGGACACTATTTCGTGCTTCCTTTGCTCTGCGGAACATAAAACACTGTCTCAAAGCACCTAACTCAGCACCTCTTAGCTAGATAAACTGATAAACTTTCCCCTAAAAGACAACTTAACCTTATTCCACACATTTACATCACTCCTGTGAGCATATTCTGAAGTGATTTGTTCTATTTGGTTTGTGTTTCTCTATCAAGCATAGCAAAGCTGAAAAAGTTACACATCCAGTTTTTTTTTAAAGTTTGAACGTCATTAATGTTTTTATAGCCGATAAATTTACTATCTCTCCTTATTTGGACAGTTACTAAAATCAATAAAGTTTAGTGGATACATCATCACTTCACCTGTCTACTTATAAGGAGAAAATTAGAATTATTTAATTATTTTCACAGGAATTTCAACTGCTGACAGATTTTACCTACAGCCTATTAGAAAAAAAACAAGAAATATTTGGCCTTCAATCTGAAACTATTCACTTGTACACGCATCATGGAGCTAAGGAATCTCTAACTTAGGGAATAAACATTACATCATTTAGTCACTGAATTAGGGTTTAAATGACTCTTGATTTCCATCACAGCGCTACCTCTTGATTTCTTATAGAGTAATAATTGCACATTGTTGAAGAGTCACAAATTAGATGGAAATAAGCACTAGTAAATTACGTAAGCACTCCTTTAAAAATTGGCTTAATTGACTGAATTATAAAAGTGTATTGAGGGTGGTCGCCTTTTTAGATTTGGTGAAAAATCGAAATAGTAGTCATACACTATGGGTTTGAAGGGTTGTTACGAATCTAAACTCGGCTGTACCATATTTATTTATTGCTGATTTACGCCCAAATCGACAGATCGATTTTTCAAGTATTGGTTTCTCAGGGATTTTGTTTAATTGGATGGAGGATTTCATCATGAGCTGACATCAGTTAGAGAACCACTGGAAAACCTGCAGGGAGTACTGGACAGCTGGAAATTGATTTTTCCCCGGCACTTTTTAGTTTTTATTTAATTTCCTATAATATTCTGTTATTTGGTTGATGGTGACTAATGGTGGGAGCTAGAAGGCGTGTTTCGTTCTGTTTTGGAAGTGTCAACTGGATGTACCTAAATCCCCAATGAGTGTTGATTATCTCACTGAAACTTGAACCCTGCATTAGTCGTTTCCACTAGACTACTGGGTTATGCAGTGCCTCAGCAGAAAAATAATATCATGTTAACCGCCTATGTGAAGAGTCAACGTGGCCCCAGAGACCGACCATTTTGATCCACGGTAATCAATCAATGGGAATTACTAAATGACTGAAAAATAACATCCTATAACACTTGATTGATTTCCGAAACAGTATCACAATGAACACAATGAAATTTAGTCACTAAGCTGAAATAGAAATTCCAAATTTTCCCATACATCCACCCCATCCCCCCTAAACTTTTATTAGCTCAGGATTTATCATAGCAATCGCTATAATGGCTGGTGAGCAGACATTCCCAACCACCTCCCTTAAATCGTAAACTCCCCACTAGAATTCCGCTAAATTCGTCTCGAGGCCAGTGAGTAATACGAATAAAAGTTGTAGTCATTTAATTTGTTAAACTGAACTTATTTACTTGGATCACACATTTTGTAGAGTGAGTTTTGAGGTGCATATTGTCTGAGAGCTGGTGATACTACCTACTTGCACAGACTGAAGTCCGGGACTGAAAATCGAGTGTTTAAGCGAATCAGCCGCACCTCCATATGCACACACCTGATTAGTCCTTGATTCCATTTCGTAGGATACTTAAGTTTATTTTCAATGACTCTTCTACTGATATCATTCCCGACCACTACTTTTTTTAAATAACAGTCACACTAACTTTTTTGTCAATCCTGAAGTTCCTGATGAAATCCTGTAACCAATCAAACAAAAACTCAGCAAAACCGTTACTTGAAAATTGGTCTGATGCTCACTAGCGATTGGCCCTATTCAGGTAGGTGGTTACCTGGTGTTCTAGTGGGAAGCCGTGACCAGTAGGGTATAGCAGGTTGAAGGTTAGGTAGTGACTCATCAAAGAAGACATTGTGAAGTGGTTGCGCTATGTCATGCATTGACAGAAGTTAGAATTCATGGACTGGCCATTGGATCGTGTCCCAGTAGCTTTTTGGTCTACGAGCTCGCTAGTCTTGTAACCAGGAGGTCCTGGTTTCGAACCGTGGTGGTGTGTGCGTACTGATGAAGAGTCCCAAACTAGGACGAAAGGAACATCTATGCAGTACTCCTTTCAGGTTTTCCAATGGTTCTCTAATTGATGTCAGCTCACGATGTAATCCTTCAAGCAAATCAGAATTATTTTGGAACTATTCTGTCAAATCTTGATCACAATTCATATGAATTTTCTTGTATGTGTTTCATAAAGGATTCGACTAAGCTGTACCGCTGAACTAAGTCTGTTTTGTCAATATATAAAGATTCTCAATCGTTTTCTCTTTCTTTTCATTATAATAAAAAATCTAGTCAACCACCCTCTCCCCTCCTTTCCCATTATGTATACCGTACAGAATCATTCTAAACATCGCTTACTATATTTCTTCAACTTAGTATTGATTAAAGCATAAATCAGATATGCATTGCATTCCATATATGGCCCTATCTTTTTGTGATTACTACTCAGTTTGGACTACTGAAGTCATATATATATATATATATATATATATATATCAGATTACTTACAAACACCTGTTTGTTGAGTAGAACTCATTTTATTCATGTTATTACTATTATTATTATTATTATTATTATACTTTCTCAACTGAACTATAAGTGTAAGGGACATTCAAATATTCTTCACATGAATATACTGTGCTAGCCAATGTTTCAATTGATCACCTGATGTGAGTGGTATTCACTATTTTTCCTAATACAGTTTAGAATGATGTAAGTAATCATATTTTAGATAAATAACGAAGAGTAAGAGGGAGAGAGGGAAAAATATGATGAATGAGTAATGAATACTCACCATTAATAACATTAAATGGATTTAGTGATGACAATCGACTTTAAGACAGTAATTGTATTGATTCATTACACAATGTTCAAGCTTTACTTCAGTAAGAAAGTGAAATACTTATTTTGTATACAATTTTTATTATTACCCCCCCCCCCCCCCCATCGAGCTGTACTCAAGCCGAAGCCTTCAATTTTTTT